CTGACCGGGAATGGACACAGAGGTTCCCCATCCCGGGTGAAAGCACTCGGCAAGCTTTAAAATCCCATTCTCAAGAAATTCCATTCTACTGGCCTGGGGTCTGGAGCAGCACTTAGGCTGAGAGCAGGCAGGTGAGAACAGGGCCCCCCGGCCCGTGCATATAGTCATTAGAGCTCTAAGTACAGAAAGTCCCTGACATACCAAAGCTGAAAGGAAATTCAAGGATAACATTTTTTATAGACTTAATGCAGTATTTATAAAGATTATTTAAGTGGCATTGCCTCGGTTTTATCTGCATTCAACAAATAGCAATAGCATACAGCTCAAAGCCAAGGGCTTCTTACCCGTCTGTTGAGGGCCGTCTTGCTGCCCAACTTGGTCATCTCCCCAAGGCTATTCTGTGAAACTCTTCTGTCAGCGTCCTCCTGTATCCCTTTAAGTATTTATCAAGAGAGCATTATTTACGCTAAAATTCTGTGGTATATGATATTATTTAAAGAGATGTGAAATATCAACAATTTTTTTCAAAGCAAAAGGAGAATCACTGTTAAAAAAAACTACAAAACTGTTTCAAACCCAAAGTACTCTAGGAGCTTGACGCTTACCTGTGGCATCTGAGCATGGAATGTCCCCATTGGTTGCGGAAGTCACAAGAAACTTCCTTGCGTTGCTCAGCCCGCGGCTGTTGAGGAAGACTGGCAAGTGGACAATGTTGCGCATGTAGTCGTGGCCGTTGATGTTGGAATCACGAAGCACGCTGTTGAGGTTCTGGTTAATCGCCTTGATGATAATATGTGGGTCACTCGCAAAAATGGCAATGAATGGGCCTTTCGAAAACAGAACTCGGACCTGGGGTAGCACAAATACATAAGTGTGGCATAAATTTTAAATCATCTAAAACAATAAGACAAATCTTCAAAATATCTGTATTTTTAAAAATAGTATTTCTTTTATAAAAATTTCTGCATCTTTAAAAATAGTATTTTTAAAAATAGTTTCATCAGAACTCATTCTATATAAAAGTAAATTTTATTGACAGCTCAATCTGGGTTTGTCACCATTTGACAATGATAAAATTTGCAAAGAAACAACTGGCACTGTCCTACTCTCAGACGCTTACAGTCTGCGTAAGACATAAGACCAACACCCATGAGAAATACAGGTAAATACCTGAGGTGCTGGGCACACTGCACTCTGCCCACAGGTCAGCCACTGCTGCTCATGATGGAGCCCTACAGAGAGCTGCTGACACACCCGACTTCAACAAACACCAACAAATTCTGTGGGTTCCCCGTATTATCTCAGATTCTAACCATAACTATCTGCAAAGAAAAGCTAGAACCACACTGTGGACTTAAGAGATGATCTATTCGTTTTTTCCTAACACTGCCATGAAGCTAAAATTGACTATTTACTTATTTATTTTTGAGACACAGTCTCACTCTGTCACCCTGGGTAGAGTGCTGTGGCATCGTAGCTCACAGCTATCATAGCTCATAACCTCAAACTCTTGGGCTTAAGTGATCCTCTTGAATCAGCCTCCCATGCAGCTGGGACCACAGGTGCCTGGCTAGTTTTTCTATTTTTAGTAGACCCAGGGTCTCACTCTTACTCAGCTGTCTTAAACTTCTGAGCTCAGGCGATCCTCCCGCCTCCACATCCCTGAGGGCTTGGATCACAGGTGAGCCACCAGCCAAGCTAAGATTATCTAAATCTCGTGACAAATGTAGTAAAACATTTATTCTTGATATATTTCTGTATAAAGAATGACTTTTTTTACAAAAGAAAAATCCCAAGAGAAACAAGTGAAAGAGAAACCAATCAAATAAAACCACAGCCTCCATTCCACTTGAGATACACATATTCAGTGAAGTCAGGCCTCCTCTCAGCGGCCACAACATCACGATGACAAGTTTTGAGATGGTCACGTACAGTGTCCAGCATCTGAAGGACTTTGTCCTGCTCACAGGCATCTAACCCGTCAATGATGACCACCAGCCTCGTCTGATTCTGGGTGAAGCTGTCAATGGTCTTTGCCATCCTGGCCATCAATTCCACCTCGCACTTAAGAACCTGCACAAAGTGAAGGGCAGAAATCACTTAAGACATGAGAGGTTTAAACACATTTCTTATCACAGAACAATTCACAATTACAAAGACACAGGATCAACCCGGTGTCCAACAACTGATGCACGGATAAAGAAAACACCCTCAACCGCACCCCCACGGGGCACTACTATAAAAAGGAATGAAATAATGTCTTTTCCAGCAACTTGGAGGGAACACGCATCACAACTGTTTCTATTAACTGCTGAGTGCTTACCTTCATGAACCCTTCACTTTTCAGTTTGTGCAGTTTGGAGGCAGCATTGTGGAGGCGTTTTCTTTGAGAATTCAGAAGAGAGTCCAGCACTTGCCACCACGTGCGACAGTTCAGCAGAAATGCCAACCCCACTACAGACGCGATGGATATGAGGACAGCATTCACTGTCAGGTGTCTGGGGTCAACTCTGAATATGGTCAGGAGAGTAATTCCAGCAATAATGCAGCCAATGATAAAAAGGAAGATGACGAAGGATGGCAGGCAACATGTTTTTTTCCATTTCTTTTTACCTATAATACAACAAATGGTTTTAGCAGCTGTTAACACGTCAAATATCTAGAAAATCCTAATCATTCCAGGCAGGGCATCTGGTGAGCCTGGTGGTCAAGCTGGGTTTCCTTTCAGTTTGATGAAAACAAGCTGAACGTTCATCCCACCTCCGACCCTTACACCTGACACACAAAGAAAGAGGAGGAGGAACACCCACCCTGAGTATCTTCAGTCTTGAACACTCGAAAAAGCCTGGTGGCCAGAAAGCCAAACTCTCTCTCACAGGCGTCCGAGAGGGTCGCGATCATTTCAGCCAACGACGTCTCTCCCCCCACGCTCGACAGCCTATTGTAATCCGTGAACAAAAACCTGCAGGAAGAACAAATAAACATCACTCGGCAAGTCACAAATAACTGCAGTACTTCTCTATCATTTACCCTATTGTTTTCTTTATATCTCTTTCAAACTGTTTTTAAAATTCTGAGCAAAGAAAAAAACTTTTATAATTAGGTAGCTTCTACTTGTAATATCTTACACATGTTTCTTAGGAAAAAAACAGTAACCAAGTTCAAGGGAGCAGAGCTCTGTGAACGCATCCTAACTAAGGGGAGAGGGAAAGAAGGCAGGACAGAGCGTAGATGTGGAGGATCAGACACCATCAGATCTCACAAGACAGCGATTAAAAGCTGGTGCCTGTGTCCGAATGAGGCCACAAAGAGTTGAACAAAGAAAATTTTCTAACACCAAGTGAAGAGATTACAAACTCTGAGAAAATATGATAGTCATTAAAGAATTTCAAGCCCAGTAATGCCATTTAAAAACTCGAGTTTTAGAAAGTCTTATTTATAGCTTCAACATCTATCAGAGATTTAGAAATAGTTGTAAAATATTCTTTTCACAGTTGTTCTTCAAAGTAATGGTATTTTTGGATTCTGGGTCTCTGAATCAGTGTTATTTCTGCATGAGCTCCTTTTCTCCTTTCATCTCTAAATGAAACTCTCATCTCAACCCAGTAGATAAGCATTGCTTTCAAAATACCTACAATCTGAGGCCAGTATTACAGGCACGGCCGAGGCAGGTGGACTGACTGGGTTCAAGAACAGCCTGAGAGAGTAAGACCCATCTCTAGAAACAGCTGGGTGTTGGGGCGGGACCTGTAGTCCCAGCTATTTGGGAGGCTGAGGCAAGAGAATCGCTTAAGCCCAAGAGTTTGAGGTTACTA